AGAGATGAAGCCCATCCCGCCCCAGCAACCCACCCTCCCGTGGGTTGTCATATACCTGTGACAAGAGGTGACCTGTAGCTGGAAGAGTGCAATGACAGCATGAATAGGGACATCTTTCTTGTTAGTGTAGCATGCTTCTGTTGTGCAGGGCGGTTACTGAGGCCCATAATATACAAGTTAGCATTAATTAAAACGTACCTTTCAGCAACATAATACAGGGTTTGCTGCACATCTCCATCGATCAGCTCTGCCAAACAAAGGAAATGTTCCTGGGTGTCATTACCCAGACTTCAAGAATTCATGTTTCAGCATGGTTTGTATTTTTGTACAGCTAAAATTCTCGTCTAGTAAGTCGGTAGGTTTTTATATTTTGTCATTTTGTTTCTAGTCCCTTTCATTCAATGATGCTTGGATGTCAGGAAGGGGGTTTAAATCAGCACCTAGTTCCCCATTTTATTGATGGAAGATGGGCAGCTCTAAACTATTACAGTAGAGTATCATTTATTCAGATTGGATGGGGACATGACATTTATTTGACTACGGGGATCTGGCAAATGATTTATGCTAGAAAATATAGCTTACAATTGGATTTAGGTGTATGACTATATAATAGATAAATTAGTATAACTGATAGAAGGGAAAAGGAATTTTTTTTATACTAAGAATCTCAAACTCAATATAAATTGTCAGAGGAATATTAAAATTTCTTCTTCTTTTTCCTCCTTCTCTCCTTTTTTCTCCTAGTCGAAATCTTTTATCAACATTGCCAAAATACCTGTTTGACCTGCCCCTTAAAGTGTTGGTTGTTAGTAATAATAAGCTAGTTTCCATTCCAGAAGAAATTGGAAAATTGAGAGACCTAATGGAGTTGGTGAGTATATTTGTGTTAAACATTTACATTATAGAGAATCTTGAAATATGTAATTAAACTTATTCTTATTATCATGACTGACCTTACATAAATGTTCAGTTTGTTGTAATTGGGAAATTATGAAGCATGCAAAATTTTGAAGTTGTACTAATTTTTTTTGCCATAGTTCATATGCAAATACAACATTTGCTCAATTTTGTCATCAATGTAGAACACTAAACCCTCCCCTGTAAAACAATATGTTGCAGTCGAACATCTGATTTAAAGAATATCTCTCTGAGAGATTCTCCTTTGGGTGCAAACAGATGTCACCCTCGTGCCCCCATAAAAATGTTGACGGAAGCACAAATTGCGAACAAACTTTCTAGCCCTTTGTCTCACTCCAGGTGCCCAAAAATGTTGCTGCAACCAGAAGAGGTTACAGTTTGTGATGCTGTAAATGGGAGGGGATGCCCATGGCCTGCAGAACTATGGAGTTCCCTCACTTGCAGACGCATCCCAGTTTGGGACGTGGCACCTGGGGCTGTTGTTCTGCAGGATTGGGTTCCCAAAGCCCTGAGAGAGGCAGAAGCCCAGCCCTGTGGGACAGTGGCTCCAAAAGATGTCTGTAGACACCAGTAAGCAGGTCAGCTGTGTCAGGACACATCCCAGCACAGCTCATCCTGCTCCAAAGACAGTGTTTATACCCCTTGTGCAATATATTATACTTAATAGCCATTATTTATCACATTCCTTTTCTAAATGTCTTTCACCTGGAAGTCTTCCTTCTGCAGGGGTAAAGAAATATTGTCAGTCAACCTGTATATTTAAAAGATCCTTGTTAGAATATGTTTGACATTTCTATAATTTGTTTACCTACTGTCCTGTCCCCTGATTGAAGTCCCTTGATTCAGAAATATTTACAGATGAAAATGGGATGACTGTTTTTGCTCTTCAGAACTTTGTATGTGTTGCCATAAAGTTAATCTGTGAAAGCCAAACAAGCAGTAATTGCACGTAAGGAGGCAGTCTGGTGTTAAGTAAAGATTAGTTTTTGCAGTCTGGCAACAGCTGCTGTGCCCAGAACAAAATGTGCTTGCACTAACTCCAGCAGTAATGAGAACTGGGGGACAGCGGGTGTCTCGTCAGTTCTTAGGGGTGTTGCTAATTGGACGTTGCAACCAATCAGTGTCCCATTTCTGTTGTAGACATGTCTCAGGAATATAGGTTGCAGCCGTGTTGGTCTAAAGGCAAAAGCAGTCAAAACTCTTGTGGCAGGGGCGGCGATATCTTTTATTAGAAGGTGTCTGATGCAAGCAGGATGTTGAATTTTGCTTTTTTGCTGCTTTTTTTGTTAACCAAATTCAACATCCTGCTTGCCATCAGACACCTTTGGGCAAATAGACTGCTCCAACTTTTATTCAAGCCTAATTTGCATAAATTGAACTTTCCCACCCAGGAAAACTAATACCATTCTCCAGTCCCCTGTGCAGTATGAAGTTTTATTTCTACCCAGGAGACATTTTACTGTTCTCCTTTGCCTGAGGAAGGGCATGTGTGCCCAGAAGTTGCAAATATAAAAATATTTTTGCAACTACCTAGTTGGTCTAATAAAAGATATCACCTCTACCACAGGAGTTCTGACTGCTTTTATCATAGACATGCACACTTTAGAGGTTTAACTTGGAAGTAGATTGGGATAGTATGAATGAATTTTAAATTTCTTCTTTTCTCTTGCACCCAGAATAGAAGTAGGGAAACCATTACGTTATGTCTGCACCCATATTGAAAATGGGTCAACAGTCATTTTACACTTTTAAGGCTAGTAGGCAACGCAAGTGCCCAGATGGATGCTGGAGAGCCATGCTGATGGAAGGAATCCTGTCCTGAGCTAGGACGTAGTGAAATAGTGAATGAGAGTATCTGTGCAGAAGGCAACCCTGCAGCTTCCCAGACATCCAGCTCTGTGCAGGACTGGGGTTGCCCCATCCCTCTGTCAGCACCGGGGAGTTGCACTGATTCTGAAGCTTATGGATTTCCTTATTGAAGAGGAAAGCTGAATGTGCCTCTAAGGACCTAACCTTTAAAACAAAGCTTTGATTCTTCACCTGTATGTTGGGTAGGCAGACATCTAAATGTTGTAGCATACACAAATCACACCTGGCAAACTAGGTCTTGCAGTCTCCTTTATTGAACTGAGATTAAAACAGGTTGGAAACTTGAGTTTTTGTGTATATATTTGAGGTCATTTCCAGGTTGAATACATTAGCAAAGGAGCAATCATGCAGCACCTGGGGTAACTATACTGTTTCATGTGCTCGTTTAGAGATTGCTGCACCTTATTGATAACAGGCTGGGGTATTTTACTTCGGGGAGTAGAAGCTCAGGGCTTTGGATCCAATAATGGTTTGGTCACGTAACATAGTGAAGGAGAAGGATTATTATCCCCATTTTACAGAAGGAACAGAACATAAATGACTTGCTTGCATAAGATATCTTTGGCAGAGATGGGAACAGGTGCATCTTCTGATCTGCAGTCCCATGCATTAGCCTCAAAGTTAATGTCACTTGTCCACAGGTTTAGGTCTCTAGCTTGGGGACTCATACTACTAGATGTTACTCTAGGTTGAGGAGGAAGCTGTAAGACTTAGGTTACAGCTGTCTTTGTTTGGAAAAGGGAAAATAAGTTTGCCTTTTTAAAAATGTCTGTGCTAGCTTTCTTTGTAACATTTCCTTTGTTTAATTTCAGTCAAGCTATCATTCAACTCACTGACTCCTTATCTTTTGCTTAGGATGTTAGCTGTAATGAGATTCAGGTCCTTCCCCAGCAAATAGGAAAATTGCAGTCACTCAGAGAGTTAAACATAAGAAGAAATAATCTCCATATGTTGCCAGATGGTAAGCTTCTCTCTATCCTCTCGCTGATTTAAGTCTATTACACAAAGCATTAGGATGTCTAATTCTGTTGTCTTTCCCCCCTTACAGAATTGGGAGACCTCCCCTTGGTAAAGCTGGATTTTTCTTGTAATAAAATTACAGAGATCCCAGTTTGTTACAGGAAATTATGCCATTTACAAGTAATAATTCTGGATAACAATCCAATGCAGATACCACCAGCACAGGTTAGTATAAAACCGTTCTGGTTCCTTGGCTAACCATAGATTTAAAAGAAGGGGAAGGCGTGTTTGGTTCATTACCAGCCATCAGTCATATAAAACATCTAAGAATATTTCTTGACCCATGATCCTTGCTTAGACATTTTGTTTTGTAGCTTGTCCTTCATCTAACCCTTTACTGTAGCTGATCAGAAAGTACATAGGACCTGCCCAATCACCCCCAATTCCTGTGCAAGTTGCTGAAGTTGTTCAGCGTGGGGTCACTTCTCTGCCCTATGTTGTGTCCATGGTCTGACTAGTTGATCAAAATGTTCCATTCTGGCCTTCAAAATATAGAAATCAAATTTTGAAAAGGAAGAAGAAACTGCTACATTGTATGGCAAACTGATAAGGTATTGTGAACTTCCAGTGGTGCAGCCCAGGAGAAAAACTGCAGCTGCCAGCATTAGGATCAGCTTCCTTTTTCCCACAGGATCCCCCGTCATCTTTCCGCTTCCCTACTCCTGCAAGCTCTTTCAATCTTTACACTTGCTTTTGTCTGCCTTGACATTACTGGGCCGTGTTATTAGGTCTGTCCAAACGCATCATCCTTTTCTCCATTTTTCACAGAGACATTGTGTTTCCCTTTGTTCCTCTCTCATTCAACATGTTCATCTGTTCTGCCACCCTCTCCTTGTGTAGATGGTTTAAATGCTTCTCTCCTGTTGTCGCTCAGATCAGCTGCAGCCTTCTGCTGCAGGCGAGAGACTGGCACTTGCATTTGCCTACGTAGCAGCTCTGTCTGTCTTGGGCTTCTAGGCAGTAGGATTTTTTTTATAGCTTGACTAATGAGCTACCAGAATTGCATTTTTATTGGGTGGGTGGAAGGCGGAAATCCCGTAGATATAAAAGGTATTTGTTGGTACATGGTATTGTAAATATATTGTGTAGCTAAATTAATTTTTTTGTGTGTTTCCTAACAGATATGTTTAAAGGGCAAAGTACACATATTTAAATTCCTCAGCATTCAGGCATGCCTCAGAATAGATAAAAAACCAGATTCTTTGGATCTTCCATCATTGGGAAAACGAATCCCCTCCCAGCCACTGACAGACAGGTATTTTCCTTTCTTCATTTTTGCTTTGAATTCAATGTTTAGCAGGGCTGTGTGAAACACCATTGTTTTGTTTCGACGTCTGTTTTGCCATTTCAGAGACAGTGTTTCATTTTGTCGTTTCATTTCAAAGCAGTGTCCCGTTTCGTTTCTTCAAAAATGTTTCACTGTTTTGACGCGTTTCAGTGTTTCGCTCATAGACCATAATGGGACGTCATGAAAATTCCTAAATCATTGTCATTTGTTGTCTTGTTCAGATCCAGGTTGCAGGGATGGTAGCCCCTTCTGAGGGCATGAAGCCTGCCAAGTTTCAAAGAGATAGGTGCAGGGGTTTCTTGGAAACCCCTGCACCTCAAAGTCCTGAAAGCAAAACTCGGTGACAC